CTCGAGACGAGTGAAGATTGGCAGCAGTTCTGGTTATTCAGTCAGTCATTCGATACTTATACATGCGGAAGTAAGTAAAAAGAGGAGGCGAGGAAGAGCGTACCCATGAACCACCAGATGATGGTCATATGCCACTCGGCGCCGCGGCCGATGATGAGAGAGTCATGGTGTCTGAAGTGGCTCACTTCAGCCTCAGGCACAACCCCTGAGGCACCAGCAACCCTGGGTTCACCCTCACTGTCGAGGATAGCCTCGATGGTCTTGAGCCGGTTCAAGGCTTCTGGGTGCTGATCGTCAAAGGTCAAGGGCCCGGCTGGAGCATCTATGACAGACAGGGCTTCCTCCAGCATCCAGGCCAGGGGGATATCAGACAAAAGGAAGCGGGCATTGTTCTCATAGGCAAAACCACCGCCGACATCAGAGTGGTTACCCGCAAACCACACCTCCTTGACTGAAGCTTCTCTGTCCTCTGATTCAAAGGTGAAGAGGGCTGGCTTGAACTTGAGACGTCGCTCGTGGATTGACAAAGCATGGCGGACATGTTTCGCCGGTGACTGTTTTTTCGTTTGTTAATATTACACACACTACTATCAAACAAAGGAGTAGTAGTAAGAACTCACTGGGGCGCAGTATCTGTATTCCCTGCGGGAGAACGGGATTTCAAGAGTTGAGACGCTGTTGACGCAGTCGAACAGGCCCAAGAAGAAGACTCCGACCTCCTTACGGCAGAAAGTCACCTTCAGCTTCTGCAGGTAATCCTCCACCTCAATATCCTTGGGCTTTTTATTCGCCTTTCCCCGAATGGTTTGCCACTTGCTGAATGCCCCATACACGAATCGAATCATGTCCTCGTTACCCATGGAAAGTAAGCCGACATGTTCGATCATCTCGGCCAGGAAACGGGCCGTGTAGGCACCTCGCGAAAAGCCGAAGATATATATGTCATCTCCGGGTTTGTAGTAACGCATCAAGAACCGGTATCCGCTGGAAACATGGTATTCAAAAGATGTGCCTACCGCCTTGTCGATGATTTCACTGATCTTAGAGCGCATGCGTCCGAATATGGTTATGCTGCTGGACATGTTCACATTGAATGTTCCAATGCCGGCTATAGCTCGTTAGCAACAAGGATAATATTAACATGGTATTAGGGTTAAACCCACGTTGATAGTAGTGGAACTGCCGCTTGTCGTGTCTATCTAGCATCTGATAGAGCTTTACAACATTGGAGTCCGATTCATTGCCCTTGAAGTGATTACCGGTGCCATCAAAGCAGAGCACCAGACGGCGGCCAAGTTTCTTGACTTCTGGAGTCTCCGTCGCTTCATCAACAGTATCCATCTTGCTAATTTCTGTCCCGGTTATACACTTGAAGTTGTCGGTGTGTTTGGTATCAAAAATCAAGACAAGCGGATGGATTGACGGATTTTTATATATATGCCCTCAGGCAGCAAAACCTCCAGCTGGATGCGGCCACCATCCGCCTTGCGTCCAGTCCAGGGCTTCTCAGCCGCTGCGAGAAAAAAAAATAAAAAACGAGAGATCAGACATAACTAAGGCTTCAGCTTGCAGCGCAACCTCACTCCTAGCTGTTGAAGAAAGCCGGGGTTGCCTACCCACCACAATCTGCAGCTGGTATCTCGCATCTTCAACCAATAGACATGGGCCCAAAGGATGGCTGCTCAAGCCAGTGGCCTATCTTTTCGTCAACAGGTGGTAGTGTGACAACAATTTTATCTTACAAGGCTGGCTAATCACCATGCAATTCGGTACACTGTCTGCCTATACCCCCCAGTTCAGCTTCCGCAAGCCACACCGTCGGGGGAGTCCCTGGCCAGCGAATTAGAGCTGATATCTATCCGATGGAAGCTGCAGGATTGGGGGGAATAATGGTTCGTCCTCAATTTCTAGATCATGGTTGCTTTTTGCTTAGCATTCGGAGGAAAGGAGGGGCCGGGGGAGCCATCACATCTGTCTGGTCTTTCGGTCCATTCATCAGTGTTTTCATGAAACTCGGCGTATGTTCTTCATCCTGTTGTTTTTCACCTCTCCATCCGACCAACTTGTTGATGAAAGTGGTCAGACAGATGGGGCCAAGAGGGTGGTTCTCAGGGGCGCCGACCTAGTTCCCTGTTCATAGTAGGCATAATCATATATAAATATCGCAAAGCCCCTGCAGGGAACCTCACCACTTTCCACTTCTGCTGATCCCTTCAATGTTCCCTTGACTTGTCACCGCTGGTGTTGAGTCAAATGTAGTGGTTTGTCGGCTTTCTGTCAATCTTTAACATTGCTTTTCTTTCACACCTCCTCCTTTTCCCTCGGCATACGTTAGATCGTCATTCATTCTTGCTCACTCGAATTCTGCCAAAAGTAACTGTACCACTCATTCAATGGAAGGAATGCAGGAAGAAGTTATAAGCTCTTGGTTATGTCGATATTGACAGCAACTTGACGTTACATAGTCGTGGGTTCGCTAGTTTTCGTCGTGGGGGTCGCAAGGCGAGTTCTCTGTACAGCCAATCCAAAAACTGCAAATAATTGGGCATCATCTCCGATGGAGTCGGCCTGGCCTATTGTTACCACAGGTTATTCAAGTCATGATGGCTGGAGTCAGTTCCAAAACTTGTTATTTGATCTATCAAGGTGAGGTTCGTAGATTCATGAGCAGGCTTATCTTTACTCCAATACACTGCCATTTCACAGGCGGGTTTATTTTTGGCAAAGAAAAGAGAAAAAAGATAAGCTTTGATAGACTTCAGCCTATACAGCCGCAATAGCAAAGAATTAATCATAGAAGAGGTCTGTAAATCCTAAATAATGCTACAAATGCTGCGCCTGAAGTGATCTTGTTTATCGTAAATTCTTTATTCTGAAGTCCTTGTAAGTGATTATATAATCTATGCCAATATATATAGATGACTAATCTCAGCCTTTTTTCGAGCCTCCGAAACTCTAACTTACTTCTATTTTTGCTTCTTCAAACTCCGACTTTAGACATTCGCGATTCACGCAGTCAACCACTTTGGATGGGCAAGATATATTACGAGAACTACTACATCTAATATTTGGTGATTCTGCGTTCTATTTTGATGAATTACTCCAAGTTGGCATCAACGCCTTTGCTATGTCGAGTATGATAAAACTGGTCAACTCAATTGTCATGAGATCCACTTACAATGCCCGGATACAGTATAGCGCTCCTGATATGGAAAGGTATATATGTTAGTGCGCGCAAATATAATGGGGCCCGCCTTGCCGCTTTAACCGCCGGGACCCCAGATCGATATCCACGCCCTTCCAACTTTCCTTTGTTCGCTTCATACTCCGCCCAGATGGATCTGTTATATAGATAAGTGGCCGGTATAAAATGACTCGGGAGATGCCAGGCTGAAGGCTTTGAACTTTCATCCTCATTCTCTTGCTGCTGCGGCTCGAAGGATTCTAATTATCTAACTGCTGCGCAGGCGGTTAACGTTATCAGGATGCAAGTCTCACAGGTACGTATGTGCATGCCTCTGTAACTACATTAGCATATGTGGTTGGAATTACCTCTCTGACAGCCAGGGCAACAAGTAGATATACGTTTACCCTATCAAGTCGATGCGTCCTACGGCGCTGAACTCGGCGAAATTGACTTGCGATGGCCTGCCCTACGACAGAACCTTCATGCTGTTGAAAGTTAAACCAGACGGCCAGCTGCAGAACATGCACATCGACAAGTTCCCACAACTATCTCTATTTCTTACTGATATTGAGTTCCCAGCCTCAGCAGATCAGACGAATGGAGGAAAAGTCAACGGGAACGCCAAGGATGGGAAAGGCTGGATAACAGTGACTTATAAGAACTCATCCAATCCACACCCCGAGTCTGGGGTTGGAAATACGCTCCGCATACCCCTGGAGCCAGTGACGAGTAATCTCAAAAAATTCGAGGTGATGATGCATCGTAGTCCGACAACGGCATATGACATGGGGGTCGAGTATCATAGTTGGTTCTCAGCCTGGCTAGGTTTCAAGGTGGTATTTGCGTATATTGGTGAACATCGAAGATTAGCTTTGGGCAACTTTGCCTCACCCGGTGTGAATGGTGGATGGATGTCAACTATCTCCAGCATGATACCCGTACCTATACCTGGCCTGGTGGGAACAAAAGATGCGTCAAAGGTACTTACGTTCGCGGATATGGCACCTTATCTCGTTGTGTCACAGACGTCCGTTGACGATGTATCTTCTCGCCTACCACCGGGGGAACCGATGGATGTGACTAAATTCAGACCGAACATTGTGCTGGCTGGTGCTCAAACAGCATTTGAGGAGGATTATTGGGCTGAATTGATTATTGGAGAAGGTGTGAAGGTGCAGCTTAGGAATAACTGTGTGCGTTGTGTGAGTGTTAATGTTGACTTTGATACCGGGGCGCCGCATAAGGGGGAGGCGGGCACAGTTCTTAAGAAGCTGATGAAGGATAGACGGGTTGATAAGGGGGCAAAGTATAGCCCTGTTTTTGGACGGTATGGATTCCTGCATCGGGAAGAAGGGGCCAGCGAGGCGGTTATTCGAGTTGGTGATGCAGTAAAGGTGTCCAAGGTTAATGCCGAGCGTACTACTCTAAGTGAGTTTCCTGTCTACTCTATAAGAACAGCGGATATAGCTAACATACCACATGCAGAATGGCCTGGCATGACGAATTAATGATATACATAAGTTCTGTTTGTTTATGTTTATACCTTGGATACAGAATACATCAGAGCGCGTGTCATCCTTCTGGTTCTAGTGGATGACGATACGAGGGATATCATTCAAAGGTGGAAATAACACAACTCTCGCAGTATTAAAACAGCCAAGCAAGTGTTGAAATACATAACATAATATATAAGAAGAGTAACAGGGGAAAACGGGGGAGGGAGGAAATAAAAGCAAAAGGGGGATATTCTTTTAATGCTCATGATTCGTTGAAGAATGATAAACAGACTACTCACCACCCACGGGCCCGCCGCTTACTCGGCATCGGTCCATGGCAGACTGAACGTTCCGACCCAGTCCTCAACTTCCTGCCTGAGCTGCACAATCTCCGATACCTCCTCACCTTCGCCCAAGAAGTCATGGAAAGCCTTGAGACTGCCGGGGTTCTTACGCTTGTTCTCCTCGGCATGAGCACGAGCAGCCTTGTCAAGCTTCTGGGTAATAGTGACGGCCCGATCAACGATATCGGCCACACGAGCAAAGTCCTCCTCGGCAAAACCGCGGGATGTCATGGCGGGAGTGCCCATGCGGAGACCGCCGGGTTTAAGAGCGGATTTGTCTCCTGGCACAGTGTTCTTGTTACTTGCGACACCGCAGAGCTCAAGAACACGTTCGACACGAGCGCCATCGACGCCTCGGTTCTTAAGGTCGACGAGAACAAGGTGGTTGTCTGTGCCGCCGGAGACGATGTTGTAGCCTAGACCGCCAGCGGAGGTGGGATTGCCGAGTCTGGCGGCGAGAGCTTGGGCGTTGCGGAGGACGTTGGTCTGGTATTCTTTGAAGGCGGGGGATTGGGCTTGCTTGAGAGCCACGGCGAGGGCGGTGATGGTGTGGTTGTGTGGACCTCCCTGGTGGCCTGGGAAGACGGAGGCGTTGATGGGGTTCTCGAGGTCGTAGAGCTCCTTGTTGCCCTTGGAGTCAGTACGGCGAAGGCCCTTGCGGAAGAAGATCATGGCGCCACGGGGGCCGCGGAGGGATTTGTGGGTAGTGGTGGTTACGATGTCGGCGTGGGCGAAGGGGGAGGGGATGACGGAGGCGGCGACCAGGCCTGAGATATGGGCCATGTCTGCGAGGAGGTAGGCATTGACGCTGTCTGCGATCTGGCGCATGCGAGGGTAGTCAATTAGTCTACTGTAGGCGGAGGTTCCTGCGACAATCAGCTTGGGGCGGTAGACAAGGGCGAGCTCGGCGAGTTTGTCGTAGTCGATGAGGCCGGTGGATTCATCGAGGCGGTAAGGGACGGTCTCGAAGTACTTTGAGATGGCGGAGATCTTCTTGGTGGGAGTCTGGTATCCGTGCGAGAGATGGCCACCGTGAGGGAGGTCGAGGCCCATGAGACGGTCGTGGACATTGAGCACGGCCGAGTAGGCACAGAGGTTTGCCGGGGAGCCGGAGAGGGCTGTTGCGTGTTAGAGTGATTCTGCTTGTATATTAATTAATAGCCCGGAGAAAGAGGATTGACCTACCCTGGACATTGACACCCCATTCTTCGGTGTTCAGGGAGAATGTCTGAAGGGCTCGTTCCTGGCAAAGGCGTTCGGCCTGGTCGATAAACTCGTTGCCGCCGTAGTATCTTGCTCCGGGGTAACCCTCCGAGTACTTATCTGTGCCGAGGTCAGGCCACCAGTCATCAAAAACAACACACAAGAAAAGGCCACGACTATGAACGGCGACGGCCAAGTATAGTAGTACTAACTCTGCATAACACTGCCTAGGGCATCGAGAACTGCCTGGCTGGTGAAGTTCTCTGACGGGATGAGGTTGATGAAGTGCTTCTGACGGCGTTTCTCCTACGTTCGGTTAGTTTTGCTGTTTGGCCGGCAACAGAGTAGATCAAGACAGTAAAAAAAAGAGGGACCGCACATTCTGTATTATCTTGTAGATCTCAGGGTCTGTGGTCTGCAAGTGCTCTGCGAGCTCCTAGATGGGTGTTAGCAAGCTGGCCGCCGTTCAATGGGTGGGCACTGTGGGATGTTGCCGTACATTGTGGTTGCCGGCCGTGGAGCTCTGCCACCGCACGAACTGCGCGGGTCTGATGAATGAACGAGGGACGGCAAACCGCCTGGCGGCGCTGGCACACCGCAGAGACATCTCGATATCCTCTCTATCAGCAGCGTAATTCAATTGGGAACAGAGGGCTATATCTCCAGGAGCGAAGAAAACGGGAGCAAAAAACGCGATGGCCTTTTACTCAGTCGGTCTTGGATGAATGTCTTTTTGCTCTCCAAACTTATCTCTCGCCGCTTTCGGGATCTCCAACTTTCCCGCGGAGCTGACTAAGAGCGGCTTAGTCACCCCGCGGACCCAGGTGCTTGTTATTAATATCTGAGTCATCCCATCTTACTCATCACTGAGTCATCCATCTGACTAATATAATCATGTGACCCACTTGACGCTCCTCCCTTTTTCTTCTCTCTCTTTTTTCTTTCGGCTTCAACTTCTTTTCTTTTCTTTCTTTCTTTTCTTTCTTTCTTCACACAACTAAATCCAAAGTGATGAGCGGGCATATTCTCATCCGCTGCAACACTCGCCGTCCTCTTTTCCTTCTGGGGGGAGAGGCCGTCTGCGGGTGCTGTGGACATGTCCCGGCCCCATCTTCACCATCCTTCCAGGGACAATGTGAGATCTTCTGATTGGAGTCAATAAATGTTGTGTGTTCTAATATACCTGGACCTGAACTGGATAGCACTCTTTTATCACCTGTGATATATTGAAAACAGAGGTAGTACCAGCAAGCTTCTGGACTGGCGATGACGGGAGATAAAGGAGCGAAAAGGAGCCGAGTTAAGACACCACTCCCTTTTAGTGGAGGGGGACGGGGCCAGATTAAAGGGCACACGGGCGATACGAGTGTCAGGTATATTGAGCATGGCGAAAGGTACCAGCACAACAGCAGCTAGAAGCAACCCATCGACGGGACTATTGACAGCGAACCAGAGCACAAGAACGGTTGACAAGACCAGCATGGCGATCAGGCACCACGACGTCGACTAGTCTCTTCCCCCCGTAGGACTGAGCTGGCGGTCTTTGTACCAGCAGGAGACGAGTCACAGATAGACAGACAGTACAGACAGATACTCCGTAAGCCATACTTCGTTACAGGCGCAAAGACGACGAAGACGAAGAACAAGACAGGACGGAGGCCCACTCGAGCCGTCCATCTCGATCTCGCTCTTCACCTGTCCGGCCCCTGTCACCGTCGCTCTGCCTGTCGCTCTGCCGTCGCTCTCCCTGTCACTCTCAACTCTGCTGCTTATCCCTAGTACTAGTATTATATTATAACTCTCGCTGCCGCCGGCCTCGCCTCCCCAGCCGTGTGGGCGGTAAGTTATCAGGCCCTTAAGTTACCGTGCCTGGTCACGTCACGTAAGTACCGTAAGTTACACTACAGCGCCACCACAGACGCCTCGGCGTTCCTGGGCGCACACGCAGCCAGGAACCAGGAGAATTCGCAAACCGACGACCCCATAGCATATCACTGGAGTCGCCCGGACAGGAGTACGCACTGCTGCTGCTGCTGCTGGCTGTTGGTGACGGTGACAGTGACGGTGACAGAGTGACTGATGACGGCGACGGGCGGTGGCGTCTGCTAGTGGCAAGCAGGCGGTTCTCGTCCTCCCTCCCTCGCATGCGTCGCAGATCTTGCTCCTTTTTCGTGTCCTCCAAGTCGCTGTGTGTAATCTAAACAAAAGACCCGCTGGTACCGGAGCATACGCTTACGCGCCCGTACCAGGCACTCCTTTTTCCTTCCCCCCTGCGTCCCGCCCGCCCTCTCGCTGTTCCTTTAATTATTTTATATATCTTCGTCGTCTCGTCCTCGCTCTTTTTTGCGACTCTCTCTTCTCTCTCTTCCCTTCTCTTCTCCAACGCACTTCTCGTCGTCCACAGTCGCTCTCTACAGGTTCTTGAGACCGTCCGCTCTTTCGCTTACGACCGCCGCTTCTTCTCTTCTGCCACAAGCCAAAACCCTCCTCTACCAAAGAGACAACCGCCGTAACCATGCGCTACTCCGTCGCCGCCGCTGCCGCCATGGCCAGCCTCGCCTCTGCCTCCATCATGGGCACCGGTTCTCCGATGTCTGACGTCGTCACCGAGGTCGTCACTGGCTTCGAGACCTACTGCTCGGAGCCAACCTCTCTCGTCTACGGCACCCAGACCTACACCATGAGTGCGCCAGGCACTCTCACCTTCACCGAGCCCTGCACCGTCACCCGCACTCTCACCTCCTCCACCGCCACCGAGTGCAGCTCCTGGTACGTTTGCGCCTTGCTGTTACTATATATATATATATAGAAAGAGAAAGAGAAAGAGAAAGAGAGGTACTAACTTGTACAGCCCAACCACTGCTGCTCCTACCAGCGCTCCCACCGGCGGTATCCCTGGAACCGGCGCCCCCGTCCCAGTCCCAGCTCCCACCGGCGGCAGCACCTCCATCTACACACCACCAACCTACCCCAACTCGACTGCCCAGGCTCCTCCCATGGGCACTGCCAGCGGCACCGGTGTCATCACCGCTCCTCTGCCAACCTACACCGGCGCTGCCTCGCGCGCCGTTGTCGGTGCCGGAGCCGGTCTCGCCGGTCTCCTCGGTCTCGCTGCCCTTTTGCTGTAAACAGTCGACTGGGGACGCTGATGGCTGAGGGTTATGTGTTGGATCGACGGTCTACGGATGGAGCTTTTTGCGTGTATTGGTAGTTCTATCTTGAGTTAATGCATAATCTTCTTATTATTTATTACTTTATAATCAACACTTTATGCTCTTTCTTCTTAACTTCTTAACTTCTTCTATTCTACTTCTCGAAAACCCCACTGTACTCCGTAGATACAAATGATGTACATATATTGACGTCTGTCATCCCCTGTCAACCACGCAGCATGGAGTTAAAGACTTTCAATAGTCTCCTGCTTCACGGCCCTGGACTTGACTTCCCACTACTTTGCTTGGCCTGGCACCGGTGGAGGTAAAATAAGACGACGAGATTGCCACCCGTCACAGCGTCCATCCTGTAACCGAATCTCCTCTCAAACGCTCCATCCTCGTCAAACCATGGAGCGGCAAACCGCCCAAACCACCAACCATCCCGTCCCACGGCCAGCAGCCGACGGCTCGACGGACTCATCCCCGGGGCCCCCGATCGACTTCAGGTTGCTTCCTGATCCTCAGAATCCCTTCCCTTGATTGCTTGCCGGCCGTCTACCCCATGGGGAACAAGATGTACGTTTTGGCCGCGCGACGAGTCTCTGGCACGCTACCTTTTACCCGATTTTTTAACGCTCGTCTGGTTCGGTTCTGGGAGGCGAGGTCCACTAGCTCGAGTCCCTAGAATGCAGGATATATAAAGAGGAATAAGGGCCTAGCTGGAGTTCCAGTTGGATGCTGGATGCTGGATGCTGGACGTTGGACGTTGGATGTTGGATCCTGCTGAAGCCCGACGCCTACACGCCTGAAGCCGACGAGGGCGCAACAAGCAGAGACGACTCGCGAGCCATGGAGGCGTCCAAGACGGAGGAGGAGCTGGTGGGCGGCCTGCAGCAGCTCAGCGACGAGGAGCTGCAGCTCGAGAAGAAGCTGCGGCGCAAGATCGATAGCTTGATCATGCCGCTGGTCATCCTCGTCTACCTCCTCAACTACATCGACCGGTATGTCTACTCTGCTAGTCTACTAGTTAACTATATATGTGATGCTAATGGTGGTAGAAACAACTATGCGGCTGCTCGATTGCAGGGACTGGAGGCGGATCTCGGGCTCGAGGGCTCGCAGTATCAGACCGGCCTCTCCGTCCTGTTCGTCGCCTACATCCTGATGCAGGTCCCCTCGAACCTGCTGCTCAACTACATGGGCCGCCCGTCGCTGTACCTGGGCGGCTTCACCGTGGCCTGGGGCGCCGTCTCGGCCCTGACCTCGCTCGTCCACACGTACCAGCAGATAGTCGTCTGCCGCTTTCTGCTCGGGCTCGTCGAGGCCCCCTTCTTCGCCGGAGTGCTCTTCTACCTGTCGAAATGGTACACGAAGCGAGAGCTCTCCCTGCGCATGAGCATCTTCTACTCTGGCTCGCTGATCAGCGGTGCCTTTGGCAGTCTCATTGCGGCCGGCATCCTCAACGGTCTCGCGGGGGCGCGCGGCCTGTCCGCCTGGCGATGGCTGTACATCATCGAGGGCGTAATCACCATCGCCGTCGGGCTGGTCATCGTCGTGGTGCTGCCCGACTTCCCCGATACGTGGAAGCTGCTGCCGGCCGACCTCAAGCACGTAGCCAACAAGCGGCTGGCCGTCGAGGCGGCAGAGGCCGACGTCGACGTGCCCGGCGGGATGAGCCAGCTGCGAGGCCTCAGACTAGCCATGACGGACGTCAAGACCTACGCCATTGCGATAGCCTACATGTCCATCACCGCCGCCTCGGGCTTCCAGAACTTCTTCCCAACGCTCACGCAGACCCTGGGCTACTCCAAGATCATCTCGCTGCTGCTGGTGGCGCCGCCGTACCTGTTCATGGTCGTCTACAGCCTGGCTCACTCGTGGTACTCCGACCGCCGCAACAACCGGTTCTGGTTCTTCATCTACCCGATCCCGATCACGCTGGTCGGCTTCATCATCTTCATGACCACGGACGCCTTTGGGCCGCGCTACTTTTCGTTTTTCCTCATGATCTTTGTGTTTGCGCTGAACGGCACGCTGTACGGCTGGATCGCCAGCGCCATCCCCCGCCCGCCGGCCAAGAGAGCGGCCGCATACGCCTTTATCAACTCGCTGGGCAACTCGGCCAGCATCTGGACGCCGTTTACCTACCGCAACGGGGACCAGCCGCACTACCGCCTGGCGCTGGGCGTGGCCGTTGCCTGCCAGCTGCTGGCCGCCGCCTGCGTCGTCTTCCTGCGCTGGTACTTGCAGCGCCAGAACCGCGAGCTCGCCCGCTACGAGTCCGTCGGCCTCGAGCAGCTCACGGACAAGGAGCTGGCGAAGCTGCAGCGGACGGCCGAGATCGAGAACGTCGACGTGCACCAGGCCCGCCTGCTGCAGCTCGGCTTCCGCTACCAACTGTAGACTATCTCAATAACTACCTAATGACATCTATCTATCCATATCAATCTCTGTATCAATCTCTGTATATCACTGTATATCTGCAGTCTATCTGTAGTCTATCTGTATCTATCTGTCTGATATCTGATATCAGTGTTAAAAGTCCGGTCACGTGCCCAGGAAGCCAAAAAGCTGCCTTTTCGCTCCCGCGACGAAACTTCAACTTTCGACTTTCGCCCTCATCGCCCTCGACGCCCGCTTCACGCCCGCTTCACGCCAGCTCCAGGACGCCCGCCCGCTGCCCCCGACTGCCTCTCCCGCCCGCTGCTCAGTGTCAATGGTAGCTGGCGACGCCCGCCTCTGTCTGTAGCCCCCGTCCGGTCGCCCGCGAGCCGCCAGCGAGCTGCCCGAGTGCACGCCAGCCACGGCACACACACACCCCCCCGTTCCGCCTGCTGTTTGTTTTTTTTTTTTTTTTTGCGCCAGAAGGGGCTCGACAGCGACCTATCTACACACCACCACCACACCGCAGCCACCGGCCTCGACAGCGACCACACCGCATCGTCCCAGGTTCGTCTGCAGTCCTTCTACTGCCCTTCTTCTCTTCTTCTCTGATATTCCTTTTTCCTTGCTGCTCTGTCGGCCGTCCTATCGTTTCTCACCCCCCCAGTTGGCGTCCTTTCTGGACGTGTTTTCGCCACGGGGCGCAGGCGTGGATCTTGCCGTTCAAGAACATTCCACTCTGTCTCTCGCTCTCGCTCTCGCTCTCACTCACTTTTCTCTCCCTTCAGCCAGGCTAACTTAGCTCGCAGATTATTCCTGCAGGCCTTGCACGGCGAGATTGTCACCGTACACACAGCTGTCCTGTTTGTTCGGTTTGTTGGTGTCCCATCTGGCGCCACCGTTGAGGCCATCCGGGCTGGTCAAAAGTCTTGCCTGCGTTCTCGTTTGAGTCTCTGCATACCCGCGATTCGTCTAGAACTTAACCCAGGGCGGACAAAAGACAAATCCTCGCTCTGTGCCTGCCTGGTTCTTTTTTCATTATCATTGCTGCTGCATCTTCCCTTTTTTGCATCTTCGCGTTTTTTTCTGCCCTTGTTTTCTTTTCTTTTCTTGTCTCTATCCGTCTCAAGTGTGCGTGTACTCGTTTCATTGCAATCATGGCGGGGAAAATGACTCTATATAAACTCGTTGTCTTGGGCGATGGAGGAGTCGGCAAGACAGCTCTCACAATCCAGGTTGGTCTTGAAACACGATACTCAAAAAGGAAAAAAAAATGATACAGAAAGGAAACAGCATCACTAACGGGAAGCAGCTCTGCCTGAACCACTTCGTCGAGACATACGATCCTACGATTGAAGACTCATATCGCAAACAGGTCGTTATCGACCAGCAGTCGTGCATGCTTGAGGTGCTCGACACCGCCGGACAGGAGGAATACACCGCCCTGCGCGATCAGTGGATAAGAGACGGCGAGGGCTTCGTGCTCGTGTACAGCATCACCTCGCGCTCGTCTTTCACCAGGATACAGAAATTCCACCACCAGATCCAGCTCGTCAAGGAATCAGCCAGCTCCGGCTCGCCCACGGGAGCAAGCTATCTCTCCTCCCCGCTCAACTCCGCCATCTCAACCACGCCCGCCGGCCCCGTACCCGTCATGCTCGTCGGCAACAAGTCAGACAAGGCCGTTGAGCGCGCCGTTTCTTCCCAGGAAGGCATGGCTCTGGCCAAGGACCTCGGCTGTGAGTTTGTCGAAGCCTCCGCCAAAAACTGCATCAACGTCGAAAAGGCCTTTTTTGATGTTGTCCGGTTGCTCAGGCAGCAAAGGCAGCAGCAGCAACAGCAACAACAGCTCAATCGGCCGTCGGATCGGAGAACAACTGGGTTTGGTGGGCAGGGCGGCTCTAACAGGGACCTCAACGGATCAGACTATCAAAAGGCTCTACGTCCCGATCGATCAAAAACACACCGGGGTGTCAAATGCATGATTCTCTAAGGGTCCTTTTTTGCTCCATTCAACTATACACCCTTAAACTGTCCGTTTTTTCTATTACATCTAAACTGCCCCTTTTCCCTGCTTCTTTATCATACCCCTACTTTTATTCTTATTCTCCTTTTTGTTCCCTTGGCTCCTTGGATATTCCCCCCCCTCGATATTTATTCCTTCCTTGTGTCAACTCCCGCTGCACAACGGTCTTGAGTTGTTTCCCTTTGGTTCGTTTCTCCTATTTTACAGCCTACTCATCTATTCTACTCCGATTCCTATCTGGCCATGCCATCCGCCGCCAGCCATCATCTACCACCTACCGTCTTACCGTCCCACCGTTTCCGAACCAACCGTACCTGAAACCGATATTTTTTTTACATGACTTGATGATCTATACGAACGAAGAAGTTAATTATCCTTTTTTTATTACTATTTCTGTTTTTTTTTTTTTTTTTTTTTTTCTTCAACATTCCTTTTCTTACCGGCCACCTGTCTGCTTGCTACTGCTGCTGCCTCTTGCCTTGGTTTTTCGCCTTCTCTCTAGCCTAGGAGTTTTTTTTTTTTTTCTTCCCAGGACTTTCTCGTCTGTGTGCATGAATCAAGTGGGGGGATGGAGAAGAGAATATACAGAGAACTCGAGAGCAATTGGATGGCCATGGGGAAGGGAGGAGGATGGTTGTTGTTGTTGTTGCATGCTGGATGTGTGATGTGATGGGTCATCTGAACCTGCGGGACTGCGGGACTGCTAATGCTGCTGCCACTGCCGCTACTACTACTACTACGACAACAACAACAGCCTGGATTGAGAGACTATGTGAGACCGTTACATATATATAATATCATATATATACATGTGGTTCTCTTTTCTCTCTACCTTTTTTTTTTCGCCTTATTTTTCTTATTTCGACAACTTTTTCTTTCCCGTCTTCCCACTCTTGCTGCCCAGTACCCAGGAACACGGCCGAATGAACATCTACGCCGCTGCCAATGCGACCCCCACAGCAAGCAATACAACGCAATATTATTATGCAAGTCTACATACTCCGACGGGCCAGCAGAGAAGAAGTTGAGATACCAGGGAAATCCTCGGGATACACACCCCGCAACTACGGAGAACACCAGACGGCCGGCCACCTCAAAACGACACGGCTGCCCCTGTGCCAACGTTATCTATTATCCAACCTCTCCTCGCCCGGCCCTCTTCTGCTGCCAACGGGCTTTCTACCGCTTCTAACTAGTTCTCTGTCCGGGGGGCTGATTGCAAATGTATATAATATCTATCATCACAGCTAACGTGCTCAGGGTTGGGTGGACATCTCGCTTACTTATGTAGTAGACGGTGTATATCCCATGTCTTCTCCTTTTCTTCTTCTTCTTCTTCTTCTTCTTATACTTCTTCGTCCTGTTATAGTTCCCTTCCCTTATTCGCAATCTAGATATACTGTCAATCCACCGAGTTTCCTTTAATAACTCCATCGTACATACCTGCTCGAGTCTCCCGTATCTATGTAAAATAACCTTCATCTTCATCTTCATCTTCATCCCAGCCCCCCTGTCAGCCCAGACAGCCTCCCCGGCCTGCCATTGGCCTGCACGGCCGTCTTGGGGCTTCATCTCACATCCCCGGCAGCAGCCAACAGGGGCCGGCCCCAGACGCCGTGGAAAGCAGCAAACGGGATGCCGGCAACCCCCAGCTGCCTTTACCTAGGTAAAAGCTCGTCTCTTATGTAAACTGGAGCATCGCCCCTGTGGCCGTGGCTGGCGTTCCAAGACACGAGTGTTAGTTATGCGTCTTACTTAATCCTTCGGCGTTGCTTAAGCGGCATAACCGACCGACCTGCAACCATCAACGCGACAAGGACGGATCAAAGCTGCTTCACAGGTGCTCAGCTGTCCGGCCGTTTGATTAATGATCATCTCGCTTCGCCTGTCTGATATCTTAATAGCCATTATTGTTAGCTCTTAGCTCGCCATCCCAAGCAATAATGCCGGCATTACACCCTCAGGATGCAGTGCAGAGCCTAGCGCTCACACACCCGGAGCAGTTCTGGGCTCGCCACGCAGCACAGCTTCACTGGCACAAGAAGCCCTCTGCCGCTCTACGCATGGGCACAAGGACGCTGGATGACGGTACTCGGCATCAGAGCTGGTCGTGGTTCCCGGACGGGGAGATCTCGACTACGTATAACTGCGTAGACAGACATGTTCGGGCTGGCCGCGGAGCAGACGTGGCTATCCTATGGGAGTCGCCGGTGACAGGCCGGGAGGAAAAGATCACCTATAGCCAGCTGCTGGAGGAAGTGGAAGTGCTGGCGGGCGTGCTGAGGGAGCAAGGGGTGCAGAGGGGGGATGTGGTGGTTATCTACAGTATGTCTATGTAACAGCGCGTGGACCAGACTGTGTTGGTTTATTTGGCTGACGGTGGATAGTGCCCATGATACCTGCTGCGCTTGTTGCGGCACTGGCAATTACAAGGTTGGGAGCAATCCATGCTGCTGTCTTTGGCGGGTTTGCTGCAACCTCCCTTGCCCAGCGGATAGAGGCAAGCCAGCCAAAGGTTGTCATGACTGCCTCCTGTGGCATTGAAGGCAAAAAGGGCCCCATTGAGTATAAACTCCTGGTCGAGGATGCTATTTCCAAGGGCTCCTTCAAGCCTGAACGGGTGATTGTATGGCAGCGAGAGGAGCTGCGTTGGTCTCCTATCTGTGAGGACCAGGGTCAGAGGGATTGGCGCCGTCTGGTGGATGATGCAAAAGGCGTGGTCTACGGGCTGATGCGGTGCCAGTTCGGAGTGATGAAGGATTATATATCATATATACCAGTGGTAGGTTATATGTTACATGATTTGTGATGAGAGAGAGGAGGC